AAATTGGATTCAAATGTCAATATCTTTTTCTAAAAAAGTCTTTTATTATTCAAAGACGTCTTTTACTTTAAAGACATGTGTCGGCATTATCATTGCAAAATGTTGATCCTGTGAAGAGCGTTATACCAGGCAAATCCATTTAAAAATAATGTTACTTTACACTTCCACCCCGACCCTTGTTCTTGAAAGAAGTCAGGCGGTTGTTCTCAATCCCAGGCATGGTGTGATTTGATGCGGTGCGCGGTGCTGTGAATGAAGGAGTTTAGAAGACTTTCTGGTTCCTCTGCTGTGCACTTGGACTCTTAATTTAGCAGTAAATTGATGAGAAGATGGCACTTGGCACACAGGGTAAGCTTTTATGTATGTTAGATGAGCTTTGCGTTAGATTTCTGTTGATGGAGAAAAATAAGTAACATTTATCATTCTAAATTGTAAACATTGGAGACAAATTTTAGTCAACCAAGAATCTGTTTCCTTTTTTGCAGGTTTATTTTGCCGTGAACCGGTCTCACATTTTTTCCGCCCTTAAGCTGGCAGATTGTAGAGCGCCCTCATGCACATGTCTACAACTAGGCCTTCACATTAAGATACATGTATTAAATTGCCAGCCTAAGTCGAGTGAAACGCATGGCGGACATTGCGCCTAGCTTCCAAGCGCGCTGCGCGGCTTGAGTTCGACACTCATCAACATCATTGTTTTGAAACTTTACTCTTTCAGTCTTTGTGTCCAAAAAGTAAGTCGGCCTAGGCCTATTGTCCTTTTTTATTGTTTTAAATCAAATCCAAACTTAATTGCAAATTCTTTTTTTTCTTTTTCTGTTTCGCTGTGGATGATTTTTTTTAAAGGGAAATAAAGTCCGAGATTGCATTAGGTCTGATTGCCATCTCGTAAATTCATACAAAGTCAAAACGACCATAAGTCCATGACGACAATGAAAGCATGTAACCAGACATGCCAGATGGAGATTCGTCACGGTAATCACTGCGCATGTTCAGTGTCGTGCCGGTCAAACTCAAAGAGCTGAAACAAATTGGAGACCGTTTCACTGTCAAATATCCACTTCCCAAATGTTAACGTTTATTCAATCCAACTTCAATACAGTCTCGACAGATGGAAAATCCTGAAATCAAACAATTAGGCCTAAACTGTAAACATCGTAAAAATTATAAGAAATCATTACAATAATACTTTAATAGTTTATTGAAACAAAGAATTCGAGATTGATCAATGGGCATGATTGGACTATGTAGCATATTTCACTGACTTAACTAAAGACCTTAAATTAACAATAAATTAAGCGAATAACATTCGTCATGCTCATCTTTTTTTCATCATAGTTACCCGGTAAACGGCACCATCCTCCATTGTCCATGGTCGGTCTGCCAACTGACTGTGTGCGCATTCTTTCCAATATTCCAACAATTTTGTTTAATTTTCTCACTTTACAGCCACAATCTCATTACAGAATTGTTCTTTAATACATTATCACATCAAAAAATAATCATCAGATGAAAATATTTCAAAATAATGACTGATTTTTGTTGCCCCAAACCTGCACGACCTACCTTCAAGATCGGTGTTCAACAGAAAAATGGGCATTTAAACTTTGCGGGAAATTTAAATACCCGCGCTCCTTTTTCTTCTTGGAAAAACTTTTTGAAAAAAAACGTTTCTCCAAAAACGATTCCTAACAAGATCTTCATCAAATGTTGCTTTATGAAATTGTAAACCCCTTTATATTTGTCCTTTCTATAGTTTGTGTTTGATTTCGTTAGTTTTACAACATCAACTAATGTATTATTTCAAAAATACACCATAAAGTTTGCAATTGAATTTAGAAACTGCTCGGAATTCTCGAATATTACGTGCGAGATCGCGCACGTGAACTGAAGACATTTGACGTCTGCTGCACGTAAAAACATCTACAAACCTCATTTATTTGGGCTCAAATGTATCCTTGAAATGGCTCATGATTTCAATTTGTGCATTTAATTTGTTTGTTTTGTTCATATGTAATAATTACATCGGAAAAGTGCCTTTTCAACATTGTTTTTTGCGGCTGCACACAGCGCTTCCGCGACAGCGCTAGAAATCATTCATGCGTGCCATTTGGCCATGTGGTCCCGTGTTTATGTTGCCCGCTCGTTTCGTGCGTTCGGTTTTTTATGCAGAAACACAAACAGTTCAAGATTGTGTTTAGAATTTAACGGTGCTCTTACAAAGCTAGCTCATGGAAATAATGCAGTGTCATGTTGCTACTGATTCACTACATTTACCTGCAACTGAATTGAATTGTGATGTGGACTAAAAAATTATAGTTTTTGGACTGAATTTGAAAGAAAAAAAAAATTTCATCAATTTGTCGTCAGGTTGGCATGGTTTTGTGTCCTTCATTTTGTACTTCATTGTTATTGAATTAAAATAAAAGATCAGGCATGCAACTTCCTCGCATCCGCTGATTTCCTCATTTTTTTTACTTGTCGTGAATGCCATTACAAATTGAAAAACAATGGAGAGATTCCCATATCTGGCCATCACCTGTCACCCTGTGCAGAAACCCTATGTCATGAGACTGGTCTGAAAATGTGTAAGTGTTTTCTCAGAAACTACTTCAATATTTTCCCTGCTAAATTTGACTTTTAAGACATATTATCACTTTCTGATGGCTGATAGCTCACTGACGGGAAAAATTAGTGATGGCCAGACATGGGAATCTTTCCAAACACTGTACAAAGTCTTGTGTGGTTTGGAATTTCCTCATTTTTCCCCCTAAATTCCCAGTTGCATGCCTGAAAGATGCCCTCTAAGATGACCTCTACGGATAAGGTCAATTTTTGAAAAGAAACCCCAGAGTGCAAAAGAAAGCGACTAAATTTCAAAATTTCAAAAGTCAGCATTCCCTGAAACCCCTGACAAATCATTAATCTTCAATTGTTTCCAAAAAAATTAAATTTGTGTTAATTTTGTTGTAAGGACCAACTGAAGATGCTGTTATGAGGTTCTATCCTTAATGCTGCTGACAGACCAAGAACTTCAGCTGCGATATGTCCATGTATGGAGCATACCCATCTGGCCATGATATTAATACCGAGATACAGCAACGGCAACGCCAGTATGCATTGCTGATGGAAATCCAGCGGCTTTGCAGAGAGCTACCCATGTGAGTTGGGGTGAAAATGTTACGTCCCAACTATGGCAGTGGCCCCAACTATAGTCGGTACAGTACCAACAATACTATAGTTGGGGATTCCAAACTATAATTGGGACAGTGCCATGGTTGGGGCTTATAAAAATACTAATTTTATTCATTTGTCTACTTTCCATTTGACTGTGTATTTTTTGTACTGATTAATTTAAGGCCAAAAATAATTAATATTTCTCTTCCGGTTTCCCTACCTGCCCTTTTTGACAGCCTCTACCCTATTTTTTTTGTTGGGGGGGGGGGGGGGGAATCAGGGAAAAAACCCAAAATCATCAATTACTACCTTTTACCCTTGACTACACGAAGACACCTCCATATGATTGTACACAAAACAAATTGCTAAAAAACAAAGATTTCCCTACCTACGTACCCTATTTTCAAATGCCATGTAATCAGAGGCAGAACTACATTTTTTTGTGGCCTAATCCATCAGCTTATAGAGCAGCTTTATCCTGTCATACTTCTAAAGTTTGAATATATAATTGAAGGATGAAGAACACATCTTAGTTTATTCTCATGATAGTGTAGAGGATCCCAATTTTCTGTTAATTATTCCAAAAAATAAACTAGTGAACAGTACATAAATCCTGCCAAATGCCAGTCCTTTCACTTGTTTCATTATAGCTAAACAGCGCCCTCTATAGTTTCTTTTAAAAAAATACTGCTAGCTGAAAATAGCCAAGCTTATTTAGCCAAGTATCAGCCATAATATACACAGCATGACATTTTAACTGGTAACCAATTTTTCTAAGCAAATGTCTCGGCCTTGCAGCTCAATGAAATAGGCTTTTTGCGCAGCAGCCATCTTAGAGGGCAGTGCCTTTGTTTTACTTGGATATGTACGAGTGAACCATTTGTGCATTCACTGCTACTGAATGCAAATAACAAAATATGCCCACTAACATGGCCGCTAGTCCGCTACCCATAAGGTCTAGTGGCCCACATTCTTCACCAGCCCATCTAATGCAGACAGTTTTCCCGTCTGACTGCAGGCCTACCAGCAGCGTATGCCGTATAGCATGCTATCCAGTCTGTCTGCATCATTATTACTTGATGGGACAGTGTTTTGAGATTGTCAACCACCTTGCCGAGATTCAACACATGACGGAGCGTAAGCTGATGGAGCAACGCTCGACACTTGTCAACACCCACAAAGGTACATTGCTTCTCCTTGCCTTATCACCCCTAATTCCAAACTCCAAAGAGAATTTTATACAAGGAACCTTATTAATCCTGCTATGCCCAGTGCAGTTGGCAAAGAGAATTATCAGACCTTAAAAAACATTTTCAATTTGCCTGACTAAAAGGGTTTTGAAAGGTGAAATAGTGCTGGAACTTTTGGGACTTCTCGAAAGGTTTCCAAAGGTGAAGCAACTCTGTGGGCAAATTCAGTAAGTTGCCTTTCAATACCTTTCGAAAGGAATTGAAAGGTGTGGTAGTGCAGTAACAATAAATTCTGGAGGATTTTAAAAGGCCCAGCATTTTTTTCCTCCAATTTGCCAGCACCCAGATTTTGAGGTGTTTTGAATGGTCAAACTACAGGAGTTACTAAAGAAACCTTGAAAAATCATGTGTATCGCAGAGGAAAAAAACCCTGTCCTCCGGTTGAAGGCACTACAAGCAAGGAGTGTATCCTTGCCTCGAACCCCCCTTTCTCTGACTATGTTTCATTTTGCTTTGTGTTACCGAGTGTGTGATTTCTTTAATTTGTAGCCATGAAGCAAGAGATGACAAAGAAGCACCGTGAAGCATTGCAGAGCTGCCAGAGCAAGCCTCACAATCTGAAGCTGGTCACCAGCACCAATGAAAAAGAAAAACAGGTAATGTTAGGATTAAAACACTGGAAGAAAATCCTTCCAAATTATGGAGGATTTTGTAGGATTGAGGAAGGTTGGCCTCAACATTATTTGACATAGGGCTTGATTCCTCCTTGCTAGTTAAGTACCCAGAAAAATGTCATTGGTAATGCAGGAAGTTTCCAAGAAAAAATGCTGTGGGAGTTAAGATTAATTTTTTTTTTAAATTCCCTGTCAGTTTTTTCTTACATGTAGTTGGTTTATGTAACCAAATAAACATAGCCAGTGGCTTCATGTGGGAAAAACGCTGACAAAACACTGACCAAAAGAAGCAATCGTTTTGTGTATAGTGAAATAGATATGTAAGTATAGTCTGTCACGAACCAATGTGGCCCATCAGGCCGGCGTTTATCTCTGGTTTTCAGTAGCTTGAAACAACTGAGAATATTTCTATTCCCCCTGGATGGGATGCCAGTCCATTGCAGGTTACTCCCCAGCTAATGCCGGTACCCATTTATACTCCTGGGTGGAGAGGGGCAAGTGGGATGAAGTGTGCTTGCCCAAGACACATTAGCCAGCGGCTGGATTCGGTTCCATGACCTTCTGATGAGTCACGAACCCTAACCACTAGGCCCACATCTCCACACTCAGAAAAACTAAAAAAGTGTTTAAATCTATTGTTTCCCTCTTCTTTTACAGGCTCTAGAGAAACGACTCCAAGAGGAGATCAGAAAATGTGACGAGCGGATCGTGCTTGAGCTTGACCACCGCGTTGCCGAGCAACAGATGACCCTGGGGAGGCAGGCAGGTTTCTTCACCACCAGCAACGCAGGAGGCCGCCTCCAGATGTGCCTTCTGGAGATCCGTAAACTCAGCAAGATGAACTTCAACGCTGTGCCGCCGGCTTCACGTGATAGACCAAGACTGGTTGATTGTGACAGCAGCAGAGATAATAGTGGAGCCTGCTATTCCCACTGATTATCTTGCAGAGATCTCTGAGATAGGATGGCATCGAAGTTATCTTTAAAATGCTGGAGGCAATTTTCCAAAGGAAATCTGTAAACTTAGAAAGACGAATTCCATTGCTGCACAAATCAGCCTCAGTGAAATACTAAGAGTCGCAGCAGTGGTGCAATCGTAACGAATTTGTGACAACTTGTCAGTTTGTCCAACGAAGGCCAGGATGTTGACTTCAATTTGTTTAAAGCACACATCAAATTCAGGCCTTGTTCTGGCCTGAATGTCTCAGAACAACTTAACAGAACAGAGACTTAAAGCAGACTCCATACTTCAATACCATCGCGATAAACTCAAGTTGTGAAGCAGAAAGAAATGGACAGGAAAGGTATCGTTGAACGAGAGCAAGAAAAAGAGAACTGTGGAAAAGACATTACAAGAAGGAACTCAACCCAAGCATTATTCCTGGAATTTCCACAAGGTACACTGTTGCTAAAAACTGTTGTTCCATTCTGTTGAGATTTTATTTTTACATGTTCGCTTTTCTTGGAGTCAGCAATGATTTCAAAAAGTTTGCTTTAATGCATGGAAGTTGTTGCTAATATTTGATAACATTTTGGATTATAATTGTGGATAGTGTCATCCCACGGAGTACAGTTCCCCACCACTTGCAGCTGTTTTGACAATCGTGCTTTCATTTTGTTCACACTCGAGTATGAGGAATGCTTTGACACTTATATTACTAAAAGGAGGAAAAATGTTGTTAAAAGTGGAAGTTCAGCTGACGGAGACGTATGACTAACAGTAAACACCAGAAAGATAAATGTCTAACGAGCCGTGGAGTTGGCGTAACATCAACTCAACGAGAGGAAAAACAATTTGTATGCTGACAGATTCAGTTTGACTTATCTTGTGTATCGACGGGACTTTCCAAACTCAAAACCAGATGAACAGGGTGTTTAAAATAGTGTTGGTGCCAGTGCAATGCAGAGTTCAGTCACTTGTGTCCTTGGGCAAGGCACTTTACCACAATTGTTTCTCTTGACTGTGGTGCCAGTGGGTACAACTCAAGATGTAAGCATTCCAGTGCAGGAAGGCAATCAGTATTATCTTGTCCTTGAGCAAGACACTGAACAACAATTCCTTCTCATGGCTGTGATGGAAGTTGATATACCTTAGGGCCAAGTTGGTGATTTCATAATTGCTGCTGATGAACTGAGCAGGCTCCATTTTTAGCCCAAGGAGATACTTTTAATCCCTTACTCAAGGAGCTAATTTAATTTTGGTAAATCCATTGCTGTCAAAATTGACTTATCTTTAATTTAGGCTTTTTGTCAAGGAGACTGACATTGATGCTTTTACATTTGACAGAGAGACTCAAGTGTTTGTTCAACTCAACAGATATTGTGATTTAATTAAAAGTGGCTTGCCAGTGCACACTGTACTTTTATGGAAGAGAGGCGATATGTTTTAATCAGGGCAAAAGTAAGTGAACTCCGCACTAACCCCACCTAATCGCTCTGCATGTGTTTAAGATTTTCTCCAGGGAAATCTCATTAATCTCCCGTCCCAGCATTTGGCTTTCTAAATTGCGTTTCTGACACCTCCGCGCGGTTGGTATATTATCTGCGGGAAATGAGTGCCAAATGGCTTGCCCGGTCGCATCTTGTGATAATTACCGCAACGCAGAGGTGTAGGAGTGGGGGGAGGAGGGGGGGTTGGGAGGGGGGGAAGGGGGTCCTCCCTTGTACAGTGAGGGGAACCGCTGACGACCAAATTTCCTGAAGCAGATAACGTTAATCCAGGCGGCAATTAGTGGTAATGGGAAGTTTCCACACATTGGAAGCGTTGCGGAGGTTTCTGGGGGAAGTGGCCAGCTTAGCGTTGATTACCACGCTAAGATGAGAAGAGGAAATATCATCAAGCAGCTAACCAGATGGTCTGAGAAAGTACACCGGGTCGGGATACGGTCATTGCTTGCAGCTCCGGCTTATTATAACCGCAGGGCTCATTCGCCTAATTGAGATGAGGCCTTCAAATTTAAACTGAAGGAACATGTTGAACCTGGAAATCTTTAGGAAGAGGCTGGTTTAGGCACGTGTCGCCCTGCTGATTACATGTAATAATGAGGTACCGTTTTCCCAGGACCAAAGTCTATAGTCAATTACTTTATTAAATTTAACATTAACTCAGTTGTCAAGTGCGTTTTTTAGAATGCCAAGAGGGTGACTGGGCAACCAAAAAAAAAGGAAAGGAAATTCTCATCAAGAACAAATGCAAGTGCAGTGATGTCATACATAATGGATTGTCAGACTCAGTGCATACATGTATGTCATTTTGTGCATTGATGTAGACATAAGATTGCCCCGCCACCACCTACCTACCTCCTCACCCTACACCCTACTTTTTTCTTCCAAACTTCTGTCTGTTTAACCACGCAACAGGGACTCTAACCGTGGGACAGAAATTGTCCACACCTAGCATAATTCACCACAGAATACACAGTGGTTCGTTCCAATGTCATCGTATCCCCGCCTTCTGTGTTTCTACGTTTGTCAAACCCGGACCTATCTCCAACCAAATCATCCCTTCCCCTCATCATCGTCACGTCCTACTTCTGTCAGCCTTCATTTTCAGCCAGGTCCAACCAACATCCCCGCCACTGATAATTCCTGGGCACTTCCTTCCCGGACCACAGTCCGCGGATCAACGCCCAACGCGTCAATCCCCCAATTAGCCACAAGAGCCCTTTGTCAGCGCTGTCATTAGCGCACAGATCAAGTCTGTCAGACAAGAGCAGGAAGACGGAGTAATTTTGTTGTCTGCTGTCCAACAAGGCCCCCTCAGCCATGCCCCGTCCTACTTTTCCTGTCTCGGAGCCCTGGAAATGCCAAGCATTGCAAAGACAGCGGGAAACTATGGGCCAGTGTTTGAGACATTAACCCGCCCACCCCCACCCACCCCATCCTACTCCCCCATCCCACTTCCCCTGTACATGTCCTAAGAAGCTTGGGAGGGTCAATATTGGCAAACAAGGGCACTCTGTTCTTTGCGCTCTTATCCTGTTTGTTTTATTATCAAAGCCCCCACCCACCCTCCCCATCTTACTTCCCCAATCCTACTACCCTTGTTTTTCAATGCTTGGCAGGGTCTAGATTTGCAAACAAGATTACCTGTGTTCTTGGAGAAGTTATCCTGTTTGCTATCAAACAAAGCCTCTCTCAGTCTACCGTATCCTTCCCCTCTGTGTGCCAATAAGGGGGGGACATAACACAAATCAGGGGTGTACTTGTAGGAAGTATGGTATCATAATTTTTTTGGGAGAATTGGTTGAGATATGTGTAATTTGTAAATCAGCAAAACCATCAAATACTGAAGTAAAAATCAAAACATTTGTCTTATACATGTGTTGCAAATCACACTGATTGAAGAACATTACGCTTACTGTGCACATGTACCGGTATGTATAGATCTCATAGACTGGTTTAGATAGACTGGTTTATTAAAAATCATCGTGGCGGCACGTGCCGAATTAAGATTACAATACAATGTTAAACTATTAGAAACAAAAAATCAATTAATACGAAATTAACACAAAAATCCAATAAGATACGATCCCATTTAAATATAAAAAAAATATAAAAACTTTAAAAGTGTTAATGTTTAGAATACGGTTGATATTGAAAGGTCAGTTTATTTTGTAATAATCATTACCATCATCGAGACTGCACTAAGGAATAAAGTATGATTCGTCGTCATTTAAAAAAAAAATCATAACAATTTCGAGATTCACATTTCATTATGAAGTTATAATTATATGATTCATGTTACCAATTAAGAACTTGTATATTGACTTGATATCCCTTTATTATTTCTTAATTTTTGAACACAATCTTAATCAGACATATAAGAAGAAACCTTTTCCCACCACCTCCACAAAGATACAAGAAATTCTCTCTAAAAACTGATAAACAAGTGTTATACTTAACAAAACCACATGCTTAAATCTGCATAATACCAGTTATATTGCAGATACTTAAAATGTGCGCTTAACTGTTTCAACAATAATTACGTCATACTTTTTGGATAGCTGCAAATGATGACTGTAGCTTTAACGTGTATGAGGGGAATTAATATTTGCAGATAATATTTTACGGTATGAAATTCACTGCCTGAGGTCAAGTGTGCTGTGGATGCCAGTGGGTTTTTGTCCAAGTACCTGAAAAATATGAAAGACGGCACTCACGCCAAAACGATTGTAATACACCATGAACACACCGCAACACCACACTCGTGTATATGTCTACTTTGAATTAACAATTCATACATTCGTGTATTCAGCTAGCATGGCAATTGCCACGGAGCACAGCATGCACAATTGTTTTCCCAGTGCATGCTACAAGAGGATTTATTTTTCCAACCCGTGAAGGAATAGAATGCCTGAGTTTGTTTTTACAAAACATAAAAAAGCCTAAATTCAGGCTACAGCCTGAAAACTGGCGTCCCCGAGTGTACGTTAAATTAGTAACGTACTAATTTAACATAATTTTTACGTCAGGGCTGCGTTGCCTCCCAGCCCTGATGAAGGATATGTGTCCGAAAATTTGGCACGTCTTATGATCATCGGTGAGCACTGTTATATTTTCTACTATTTTCCAGTGCTACGCAGCGACCTCTTTTTTAAATTAAATTAGTGATGTACATTTGTATTTTGTAATCTTGTGTTGACGAAATTGTGCGTGGCTTTTCACATTTTTATTTTCCACATTCAACAGGCTACAAATTAGATCAGTTGAATACAAAATATGAGATGCATAGTCCTATTTCACCTTACTTTAACTACTCCTAAAGACAGGCATGCAACTGTAAATTCACACAAAAAACGAGGAAATTACAACATTCAGAAGACTACAGTGATTTTGAATGGCAGATATATGAATTAAAACAAAAGAGGAAATCAGCTGATCCGAGGAAAAGTTGCAAGCCTGTAAACACAGTCACTCTTATACTCTGCAACTTTTAAAATATACTACAACACTTTTTTTTCATGCACATTCACCCTGAACAAGGCTAAAAGTCACTCAAGCTAATCCCACTAATTACAACTCCCTGCATGAATAAACACATTTCCTTTCCGTTGTGCCCTTTTGACAAACTTGATTTCAAGCCACAAACTTGGCGTCCCTGCCGTGCGGTTCCTCAAAGTCCAGATCCGGTCCGATGGGAACAATGCCAAAGGGATTGATGTGGAGATGACTTTGCTGTGGGAGGGGGAGGCCAGGAAACCAACAAATTAAACAAAATTGTGATAAATCCCAGATATAACCAATTTCTGTGGGTGATAATTCCCAGTTATGCGGTTTGTCACAGTTACAACTTTGCATCCATATATGTCATCATCGTTTGTCCCTTGCCAATTCTTTAGTCATATGGACAGGCTTGTGGTAAAAAACTACAGTTGGCTGCGATTATTATGACATGCTAGATGACATTGCGACACATAGGTCAAGGTCATAGTACTTAACTGAACTCATGGGAACACTTGGGGGCATGTGACTTCATCCAATCCTATGTATTTTAATGCAAGTCCCGTGGTTCATTGCCCATCATATCTCAGATTGTACCAAAGGTTCAAAGTTAAATTTTGAGAGTGTCTCAAAAGGGGGTTCGATAAACTTCTAGTTGCAGCGCCCTCACTGGTGATTGCACAAAGCCAATAAGATCAAGTCTGTGCTTACCAGGTAGTGGTTCTGGATGTGTTGCTGGTCCACCGTTTCTCGTACAGCTTCCTTCTGATAAACATCACGCACAAAACCCCAGATGTTTGGGTAGTCGATGATACGTTTCTTGTTACACTGAATGACACGGCAAGGCCAAACAAAACAGATCAATTTTTGTTACCTAATTTGATCCAACCATCCTAGTAATCCTAGTTTGTAAGATAAATGTTTGCCCTTTTCTTAATTGGTGGGAAAGCAACACTGCATTTTTTGAACAGGATGCTTGCACAGTGAAAAACAGGAAATTTAAAGGAAAAAATATAACTTTCATAATAAACTCCCTTAGTAAAGAGTGGCTGTGGCAATTTTTCCAAAACTGTCCACTTTGCAGGAACCAAATGGCAATTTTTTTTTGTTCTTAAGATTTCCAATGGGCATCAGTTATCCGTGTAATTAAAGTTAACAGCAGCTTGGCTGTACGTTCCTTTAACCTCCAAAATGCTTCCCAACCTCCACGTGAATTTGTATCAGGAAGGTTAGGGTTAAGATGATTTGTAAGACGTTGGAGATGTTGTGAGTACCTTGAAGTGGCCGTGGTAGACGGTATCGAAGCGTATCAGGGTAGTGAAGAGACGTACATCAGCCTCAGTCAGAGATGAACCGGTCAGGTAGCGGCTGTTAGAGAGGATACCCTCAGCCTACATTTTAAACAAGATGGAATTATGACCCTGCTTTATAGCCCTTCACAATGAAAAACCCTGCCCTCATAAAAAAAAGTTAACCCTCCTGCTGTCTGAACAGTCACGGAAAGTCAAAAAAAATCAATCCTCCTCCCCTGCCATGCCTTTTACACAGGCTATAGTCACCAACAGTCAGATCATATTTCAAGCAAGCACTGTGATTCAGTCAGCAGACAAAACCGCAAGCAGTAGCCAGCTTGCTTATCAATCACTTGCAGTCAAAGCATAGCTGTATCAAGTTACATAAACAGTCACAGCTGCAGCCAGTCAAGCCTGCTTTATGTAGGTTGGGAGCTCTAAACGGTTGAAAACAGTCACTTGATTGATTTTGACTGAATGGAAACGGTTGTTAAAAAGAAGAAAAAAAGTTAAACATGAGATTTCCTTTTCAAAAGGGTTGTTGAGTTTTAAATCTTTGGGGGAGGGATTCAGAGAATCACCAAGCTTCCCTTATTTTCTTTATCCCTATCAAATTGTAGAAAAGGGTGATAATTTTCCATTTTTTTTCAATTGCAGTAGGCCTACATCTTGATTTTTAATATTTTACTTTTTCAAGGACAATCACGACTTACTTTGTCCAGTCCACCAAACACTTCCCTCACAGCCACGTCGTATGCCTCTTGGCTCTTGGCAAACCCTGCACGGTACACGCCATTGTTGATCATTCTAAACAAAAATCAGAATAAAAAGTATTCTCATTCCACTTTCTTAGAGGATCGGAGGCACGGAATGCGAAGAGGTCATGAGCCTACCCTGTAAAGTTTCCGCTTCAAGAAAAGTAGAATTTGTAACAATTTTCATAACTTTTCAGCTGTGAGATCATGAAAAATTATAACTTTAATGGGACGGTGGTTCAGGTTGTTGGTTCACAAGACCTGAAAAAATTTGGAAAAATATTGAGACAACCCTATCCCCGCACCCCACCCCCCCCCCCCCCCCCCTCAAAAAAAAGAGAAAAAAAAAAAACTGAGACGTGGTTATTGAAATAAGTTCAAGCTGTAAGCTAGCAGCTACTCATGAAGAAAAATGGGACATAAATGCCATCTTGTCTGTTGATTTTTTCCAATTGCAATCTTCATTGCATTCCACCTACGGGTAAATCCAACCATTGAGCTCATCAATCTTGTCTCGGAGTTGTTCCGGGTACAGGTCCAGGTCTCGTTGCTCGGGCGTGGCACAGAACGCATTACACTCCTTGTTGAGCATGCGGATGATCTCTGACGACTCGTTGTTGACAATGGTGTTGGTCTTCTTGTCCCATAGGACTGGGACAGTGAAACGACCATCGTAGTCTGTTGATAAAAAAGGGAATGCTGTTGATGAATTTCTTTCTTTTTATGTTGTGCAAATTTCAGTCAACTTTAAAGTAGCCTACTGATGAAAATGTTTAACAGGAAGAGAGTTCTAAGACTTGTGTGACCGTGAGGTATCCAGATGGGTAAATCGTTGTTAATGAAAACCACAAATACTGCATCTTCAGTCATACTGCCCATTTGAGGATTCTTCAACTTTTTTTGAATTTAAGAAAAGAAAAACATTAGGAGGTCTGCTGTGAGTGTTGATTTGCACTCCTGTAAATCTAAAGCAAATCCTCCCCCTCCACTAAACTCAAGGTATCGTGATGCTTCAAAACAGAATTGTAAAATGTTGAACTTGTTTAAGTAAAGACAATGTCAGTGATGGACAATATTGATCACTGTAATCAGTCAAATTATAGAATACAGAATAAGTTAACTGAAAGCTAAGAATTGCGATATCAAAATCTGATCTTAATTTAGAAGTCGCCTGTCATCTGTATTAATTTGTAATCCACGTGTGTGCGTTGTGCGTTTGGCTACTTCCCAGAACGGAAGTGAATTGACAAATGCTCAGTCATTAGGAGTAATAGGTCAGGAAACGGCCCATGAAGGCCTGGAAATCCCATTAGTAATATATAAAGTGACTTCTTCGCTAAATGTCAGGCCAAAGAGTGACCGGCAAGAAGCGTTAACGGGTGGGTGGGGAGTTAGTAATGGGACGCTTGCCCAGTTGAGTTGAAAGCGAGGCGAAAATGGCGAACTTTCACATGGGTGGGTTCTTACTGATGGTATGAAATAGTCTTTCGGTTATTTTGCCTGATGTGTACCCTAGTCCTGGTCCAAGGGAGGTCGCTATAAACAGCAATTTTGGCAGAGCTACCCGGGAAATTCTGAGCACACCTCACGTATGCTGTATTCAAGCTAATACATGCGCGTTATAGGTACATGCTCGAAATTTCCCGGGCACCACTGCCAATATTGGCAAGATGGATTGGATTCATCTTGTTGATGGAGACCTCCACCGCTGCGGCAACGTTACCAGTATGTCACGTGGCAAAAACATAGGGGAATAAAAATTCAAATTCAGTTTTGGACAATTAGATTACATACTCTCAGTATTGTTCTAGTACTGGAGTTTGAATGGGTAATTTAATTATTCCACTTCTGCAATTTTGGTAATAAGCTGTGAAACCCCTTTTCATTACAGTTTTGATCAAGGAGTTTTTGAGATCATTAATCATTTTGCCCACAAGTTCTCTTTTTTTTGGCAGGGGAGGGGGGAGTTCTTAAAGGTAGGGGTGGGATGAGGGGTAAACCTTTTTTGATGGGGTGGGGGTAGGGGATGATGTGATGTGGTCAGGAATATATTGGGGCTGGGGAGGCATTCCCTCTGTCCCCACCCTAAGACGTACCAGGGTAGAACGGTTACATTTTTGTCAAAATAGCCAGACTCGATGCTCAGCTAACAAGCACAGAATGCAAAACATTCACTTTTTGCTGCTAAGGAAATTCATCGGACATTATATCTCTCCACAACACACACATGATTCACATTATAGAGCCGCAAACAAGTCTAACATGATTCATGTTCACCGCTTCCGGCAGGTATCTGTGCCCAATATCCCCTTTCATGTCGTTAACTGTTCAGTGGATGGTTTACATTTGACGTCAACCAAGATTAGCGGGAGTTAACGAGCGGACAGGATTAAACATAACATCGTTAGTTATATTCGCAGGTCATAAAATCATGAGAACAAGCTGTGAGTCCAGTGGTTTCAATTAATCGGACTGCTTTGCTGCGTCTCTCGGTGCACTTTCTTTGTAAAATTTGTATCACACATGTACGCTACCTAAATTTAGTGCACATTTTTGTAATTCAAATGTTGACAGCTCTGATGGTTAGCAGTATGACATATTTGTCGAGATATTTTTCCTCTTAACATAGAGCAAGGACCTTGCTCTACGCTCACGCCTCTCTCTAAAACAACCTACATGAATATTGTTTCTATTCTGCCCGTAAAATTAATCTTTCACTAGTCAACTGAAATGTGAACATATCTTTTGTTCACAGTGACTCTTTCATTCTCTTTTGTTTTCTCTAGTTTGTAGCCCACAACTTGAGTGATTCTTTGCCTTGTGAAGGCCAAAAGAACTACTACCGGTATGTGTCCATAGGGTGAAGTCCACTAGTAAGAGTATAAGTCCTTGAGATGCAGTCTTAAGTTCTTGAGCTGCCTCCTGTTTCTGAGAAAATTCCAGATGGCATATTAGCAAACAGGACAGCATGACTAGTGTTCCAGCTTTCCTGACTGTCATCTCAACGAGGTATTTCACTGGATAGCTTTTGATGTCTTGGCCAGATACTGGTATTATGGCTCGTGGTTCTTTGAAATGTGGTCAGCAGGCTTGTGTGCATCATACTGATATTTCACTAAGGATTCTGATAGTCCCGCTGTTCATAAATTTATAAGAGAATATGGAAGAGACGGATCGAGGGATATGCTCCAGTCTACCAGAGCCCAGTATATTGGAACAATCCAGCCCTGCTCTGTCCACCCATCTTCATAACCTTGAACCCTACAACTCTTGCTCAACCACAACATTTTACCACAATGTATCTTTTATTGCTATCACTACTATCATGTCCTGTGTAACTAGGCCAAAGCGGAATCTGTTATAGAATCCAGGTTTTTTACTCAAGGCATGCGGATCCAGGGTTGGTAAAAAAAAAAAAAAAACGGGATTGATGACCGTGGTGGCTGAGGGGGACGCAGCTCAGAGATTAAAAATAGATGATTGATGATGCCGATGATGATCCCAAATGTTTATAATTGGTTGATCTTCCCGGAGCATGTGTTCCCTTTTGACCTCATGATCTCCCCTTGGGTCTCACCCCACCCCCCTCCTAAACCTACTTGCATCTGCTTTGAAGTAAATCTCCTTGAGAGACTTGGCACCGTTGATGGTATCCAGTGTGCACTTGGGTTTCTGAAAAGAAAGCAAAAATATTCAAAGTCTGATTGAATTGACTGCGCAATAAATTGAATCTCGATTTCCAAAAATTGTTAGCTGCAAGAGGAAAAGTGTATATTTTCGTATCGTTTTTCGAAGTCTGATTGAATTTCGAAGTCTGATTGAATTGAATGCGCAATAAATTAAATCTCGATTTCCAAAATTGTTAGCTGCAAGAGGAAAAGTGTATATTTTCGTATCTTTTTTCATCAAGTCATTAAGCAGTTTGCAGCAACATCTTAATTCTTATGATAATATTTTCCTCAATGCATCCTTCCCATTTTTCCTTTCCAAATAAGAAGATGACATGATTGATTACAGTCCACTCCAGATGGACAGACTCCATGACGTCTTGCTCCCTGTTCAGCAAATTTATAGGAAATTGACCAAATTATTTTTACAAGATACGTCAAGCACGATAGCAATCCAGCTAGTTATTTTATTTCCTTATCAGATCAGTTTGTAGGATAACATCGTTATCAATGGATGTTTCGGTGGCATTATAAAGGGGTGTACAAAAACATCCGTTGATTTCTTAAAGATTTCATCAAGTACACGTACTTCCAAAACTCCCCAAGCTTTTCGTAATTAGATGCATGCAGATGCTTTCTTTTGTTTAAAATCCAGTCTTTCTTAGCAGAAGTTCTAAATAATCTCTAAAAATTATATATAATTCATGACCATTTGCTTGGATGAACAACTTTTGAAAACAGTTTACATGTAGCATAACTTAATATCAGATTTTGTGTTGGAATCACAACCTACATGTGACCTGGATGTAGGGTTTTGGAAGTTGAAGTTTGGATTTCAAGTTCACTGGAAGTGCTAATTTGTCTTAGTTAACGAACTAGCAAATTTAGAAACTCAGAAATAGAAGCAAATTAGTTCTAAAAAAAGTTAGCAATGATGACTGACTGATCTGATAGCAGATTACGCTGTGTCATCTTCTAGATAAGATAAGAAACCAGACTTAAGATTGATGAAAGATATGAATGGAGACAAGCCCTTGTTTAGAAAATTGACGGCATCCTGTTCCACAAGCCTATCATCTGTTGTAGTTTTTAATCCGTTAGATTCTTATCAGAGGAGAAAGATAAAAGATGGGCAAATCTTGCAGGAAAGGAAATTGAATTGGTCACGGCCTTGGCCCTGATTAAAAGAATAGCGTCCATTTTTGGCAAAGTTGTTAGCCACTGAAGAGCTTTTCAAATTAGTGTTACATTTAGAAATGTAACTATTCATATTGACTGCTTGCATCTGATGTGACATCTGAGGGCAGGGTTTTATTCCCAGTGAGAACACGCCTGCATTTGATATTTGCTTGATATTTACTTGCCAGCCAAAAAAAAACCCCTTTTCCTTCCTGTTTAAAGTTGACAAATCTCCTCAGGGTAGGACATGATATCATTAAGGGCTGGCTCGAATGTCTTACCATATACCCTAGGGTTGAGGGAATGGCAGGATGCATTTGATAATGTCAGCATAATCCCCAATTAATAGTGGATCTGTGAGCAAAGCTCAATGATGATATATAAGCAACAGTCTAGATTTAGACCACAAGAAGTGATGCGCGCATTATTGCACAATTTTAAAAGATAAAAGAAAATTGGAAGTATGAAGTAGAGCTAGAGTAATTAAAGAAAAGCTAATATTTTAATATTTCAGCCAGGTCTCGGGACTTTACAAATTGAGACTTTTCTGGGGTGAATGATGTTATTGATCAGATCATTAACGATTTGAAAGAAGGACGATGAAATTCTGAAGCGGGCAAGTACGCAAAAGCAGTGTTTGAATATTTGTGCCAAGACACAGTCACATATTGAGGCTTATTTTAGGTAAATTATGTTTGTGGTTATTTTTTTATTTATTTTTGAGGACTGAACAATTCGATGTAATTTTTTTTTTAATCCTATGTTTAGTCTAGGTAGGCCTGCGGTATTGCTCCTCTATCTTGACATTGCTCGGTTGCTGAGTCTTTGACTGTTCCAACCTATAACATTTTTGAAATTTCAATCTTATTGCTCACTGAGGTTCCCAGAAATTGTTTACTTGTCGACTCGGCCGGTCCCAAAGCAGTGAACCCAACAGATGGAAATTTAAACAACACTTTCCATCAAGGGGCTTTACGCTACATGTGGTATTCAAGTACTGACTTTGTAATTTTATTATATGAATTAAATTCTTCCCCTCTTTTTTCCAGTCTTCCGGTCCAGGATATCAGAAATTCACAAATTCACATCCCACTGATGGTCATTCCAGCAGTGGGGCTTTCCCCAGCTAAGTTCTTTGCCAGAGTCTTGGACTGATCAATTTCTCCGTTGACATTTTGTCGGACCATTCCACGCATACTCGGTGCTCACATACATATGCGTAATCGTTTTGCAAGTTATTGTTCTTGCACTGTGACTTAATTGTGAATTGACTTCTGATTTTGATACAATTTTTTTGACTGGAATTATGTTGGTACAGTTGAGGGTGCTGAAGCCCCCTCACCCTCCCCCCCCCCCCCTCCCAAAAGAGAGAGAGAGAATTATTCCTTGCAGAAACACACACAGTTTTTAAAAAGAAGTCTTGATAACTACCCTAATATTTTGCTTTAAAATTGAATGGAAAATGACACTTGCATACTTTAATTTTGGGGGAAAATTGAAAGGTCAACTTTTCGGCATGTATCTATCACAAAATCTCTCATAAGTCGAAGTGTAAACTGAATCTACATTCAGATCAATCTATTTCGGAAGCAAACACTCTGGCGTTTCCTATGAAAATAGATATTTTCCTACGAAAAAAAAAAGTCTTGACGAAATGTTCCGGTGTAACAGTTTCCTTTGCGTAGTGAGCCAATCTCTGCGATGAGCAACGAAAAACTCTATCAACGCTGTGTAAAAAGACACAGAAACAGAACAACAGCTTGCTGATCAATCTTTCAGAGTTTTGTTAATCCTCTTCACTTGTGTCGTACGTCAACAACGGACCCTAACAAAGAAAAAAAAATTTCCTTCTTGTGATTTTTGAGAAGGATGTTATCTATAACGGCGTAATGAAGATGACACATTTTCACAACTGGCCATTCTGAGGAAATGGGATTTGAATTCTCAACAGATGCGACCTTTCGTTGGCGTCGGAGTTCATGGCTTTTTGCCAGGGAAGGGGGTTAGGGCCTGAGGCGGGAAAAGAGGAGTTTGAATCTGGAGAAAAAAAAAGAGAACCCCTCGAGCTGCGAAAAGTCAATTTGTACACTGACTGATGGTTTTGATTTGATGTCTAGAATGACTGATTGCGGAATCAAGCGCGGAGTGTTTAAGCATCTAAACTCGCATCAAGATGACTGCTATTCGAGTGAGCTGCTGGAAACATTTTAGTAGCTTCCTGCGATTCTGATTATTTAGATATTATCTGCTTGTGTTGCAGAGAAGTTAATATATCCAGGAAAATTGAACCTTTTCACATAATCATGCTTGCCTGAAAAAAATCTGTTTAGGTCTGATGGATTTCTTCCTGCTAATAAACATAAAACAATTAAATTGGATATTTTTAAATTTAAATAAAAACTGCTTTGCATTTTTTGTTTAATTTTGTATGGCACATATTTTGTGTGCAGTAATCTGTAAAATTTTGTATACAAGAAGATAAAATTGCATTACGTTATAATGCAATGTGAATCAAGGGAAATTGCCCAATGCTCAAGCAATGGTGGATCCAGGGGGGGAGTCAACGGGGGTCATCCCCCCCCCCAAAAAACCCCCTAATTTTTATTTATTTATCTTTTTAGTAACGTCGCAAAAAAGGCAGCCATTGCGTACACCACCCACAAAACTCAACAAAAGCAATACATATGCACCCCTTCCCCTTGCCTTTCACATTTAAATTTGGGGCTGAAAATTTTGGACCCACTTTTTCAGGAACCCAAAAAACTTTGGTGTTCTGGAAAAAATAGTGTGTTCTGGATCCAGCCTTGTGCTCAAGCATTAAGGGCAAGGCAGCGACTTTTAGGCTAAGTGCTTTCAGACAGAGCGGTTTATCTCCTTGTAAATTTAAACTGGTATCCCACCTACCTCATCAGTGAAGCTCCACCCCTTATCCCCTAAGAACCAGTCAACGACCGTGTAGGACACGAAATCCTGGAGTCCCTTGAGTGCCCTGACGAGCAGGGTGCGGTGTGCCCAGGGACAGGCCAGGGAGACGTAGAGATGGTAGCGATCCATCTCTGCCTTGAAACCACTCGAGCCATCCTCTGTAGGGAAATTCAATAATAATGTCCATGTTAAAAGTATTATGCTCTTCAAAGTCGACTGTAGTCTAGATTTGGCAATGAGCCCCGCCCATCTTTGGTTAATTTGTGCGCATTTCTCAAAGTGCTTGGGACCGAGTTTGACCGAGTTGCACCATGGCCACCCGAGCAAATGGGACAATGTGCACCTTTTGATTGCCTGGGGTCCTTTGTTTTCTCCGACAATAAATTACTCAAAAACGTTTATTTATTTTTCTTAATTTTGGTGCATCTTAACCCCCTCCTCTCTCCTCCACCCACCCGAAACCGCCTGGAAGTTTTGGTACATAGAACAGAGAATATACCATTTGTTTGATGCACAGTGGATGAAACTAGAGGATTCATCAGGACGCATCTTAGAAAGAAATGCCATTGGAGATGAGATTGAGGAGAATAAAGAGATTTTTTAATTTAAAGAAAGACTAAGGTGATCTGAGACTTGTCAGGATTTTTACCTGATTTCTGGATTTTTTGTCCGTTTGTTTTCTATTTCAGGATTTTTTGTCAGTTTGTTTTCTAATCAGTTTCAGGATTTTTTGTCAGTTTGTTTTCTGATTGCAGGATTTTTTGTCATGATTTTTCCTGATTTCAAAATTTTTTGTAAGGTTTTTCCCTGATTTTAGGATTTTTGAAGAAAATTTTTTGAAATCCGGATTCCCAAGTTTTACCCAAGTTTTTACCTGTAAAAATTAATTGAGAACAAAAAAATTGTTTTGGGGTTTTTTTTTTTGCCTGAAGACAAATTAATACAATACCATAGACCCTACGTTGCTCTGATAGGCCCTCGTCAAACCTCAAACCCTGTGCTGATTATTTGGAGGAATTTTTATTCTCCACCAATCTCAGGCCTGGAAAGAGTAACTGAATATTTTCATTATTCATTCAACCGCATCTCTGGACAATTACATCAGTTTCTATTTTTGTAATAGCAAGGGATCGATGCAGAAAACCTGACTCACTAAATTTGGCACTGACTAAGCATCGGACTGACCCTGAAGAATTACATCAGTTGCTGTTTTTATAACCAGTACGTGATGCCAAAAATCTGACTGACCAACTGACACAAAACATCCTTCTCACTGACCCTTAACTTGATGACCGACTGCCCGTAAATATTACAGCCACTATCTGACTTATGACCCGCTGACTCATGGGGGGGGGGGGGCAGGTCAGGTTAAGTCTTGCATCTTTCATCTTTGTCCAAAATGGGCTAGACTTGGACACACGGGGATAAGGCCCTCCAAAAAAACAAAAACACTTGCCAGGTGTAAATGCCTAACAATTTCCTTATCTTTGATTTCAAACAGGTTGTCCTTATGTTCCCCTTCCTTTACCCATCAGTCCCACCAGATTCGCCCTCCTCGGAGCGCCCTGCCTGGCTAGAAACCGCGAATTGAGACTTCTGGAGGTAGCGCAAGTTCATGGCGATCAATACAGGGAAGCCTCAGAGTAAGTTGACCTTGATTTTAATCTTGGCGGGGGAGGGGGGTATATGGAGGGTGGATGAAGCTGTCTAGGGCCTGGGGAGTGGGCAGGGGGTCGTCAGGGTGACAGAAACACCTGCTCTTCAACAGGAAATGATGAGCCATCCATTCCTAGGTCACACACCTTGGCGCTTCTGGGACAGTGTCCAAGGAAGATGAGTGGGTCGTGAAGGGATTTTCTACGCGATAATCCTTTTCTGATATGTCTAGCTATGTATACAGTTCAGCTCTCCAAAGACTTTGCACATGATGTCGGCAACAAATGGAAGTTTGCAGCGATGTCATGTGAAAGTTAATGTCTCCTGTGAGTTAAACATGTCATAATATACGGATCTATGAGTAAACTTGGCATTTTTTGCAATGTTGTAAAGACTGTACTTGGAGTTTATATTTTTTTATCCCATCTTTGAAAAAAAAATATTTACATTTTTGCATCATGGAGTAAGAGCTCTGTAAAGCGGACATATACGCCAGCATTATATTTTAAAATGGTGACCTTTCTACAGCCAGTGTGTACTACTTTCATTTTCAAAAGGCTTTCACTCCATATATGTGGGTAGTTCAAGTAGACATCAGTGTTCATCTCTAGCCACTTGACATCTCAAATCTCTTAAGATCACATGGTGGAAGGATCTTTAGAAATGGCTCATAAAACCACACCACAAGCTTCCTTTTAGTGCCCGACATTTATCTTGACACATCACAGATGTTTTCAAGCGGCCCTTTTGAGCACGTCCTGGTAGATTTTTTAAACCCTTAAGACGGCACAAATTAATCAAAACATGGACGCTAATTCTATGTTGCCTCTGGAGTATCAGCGTTGCTCCCATTTGCTCTTTTTTATCCGTTTTCTTGATTGATGATATTGCACAAAAAGGAAGGAAGTGAAATTGTTGATTTATCTTCTAGGCTTTCCATTCTCAGCTTTAATCTCCTCATTTCACAAGGGTCTCCCAAGAGGAAACTTCCACTATTACTAAGACAGCTAGCGCTTGCTATATTTAGCCCCCTCGTTGGACCCCTTCAAAACTTGTCGAGTTGTTGGCGGCCGTCCCACTTGCCGTTTCCACTCAGTGACACGGGAGTCTTAGAGCTGAGGTTCAGGGCTTTCCCGGCAGCTAATATTGAACACTTCCGTTCCTTCCTGCCTCGTCTAACTGTCTTCATTGAGCGGCTGGGTTTCCTGTCACTGGTGCGTCAGCCTCCCAGACGGACCAATCAGAAGCCTCGGTTGGGACAGGTGTCCCGGAGGAGGGGGCTTGTGCGTCAACTAGCTAGGCGTGCCCGGCTGCTGTCAGGCCAAAAAAACGATTCCTCACCCCAGCCAAAAAGGAAGAGGCTCGTATTTACGCAGCAGCGTTTTTTCTTTATTGCCACTGTGTGTCTCCAGCCAAAAACTCTTTAGAGATTACAGAACTCAAGGAGGTTCGCATCAATGAGATAAAAAACATTTTGGTCGTCTCAAAGGAATTACACTGAGGAATCTTGAGATTAGTTTTGTTTATAGGTGGCGACGTACAGCCCAGAAAGTACCGTGGAAATCTGTGGTTAGCTTGGCGGCAGAGGGGAGGCAGAACCACAATTCATTTAGTAAACATTTCTTTCCACAAGAGGCTACGACGACGTTCTAACTCCTTGAACTTTTAAACTGCGAAGTGCAAACATTGATGCATCAATTTTTGTACTGAAAGTGGCAGTCAACTGGTTGAGATTGAAGACTTATTTTGAAAAGCAGAGGATCCTGCAGGAAGAAAGTTTATGTGCGACTTTCTACAGTGACTTTTCCTCAAGAGTCGACTACATTTTTACGGTGAAACCCAACATTAATTGAATCTGGATACTTGAAGCAACAGCAACAGCAAGTTCTCAAAACAACGTCAACTCTAGCGGCACTTTTGCTTTATAATCAAACCTTCAAGTCATCATGATGTGCATTAGAACTTCTCTCTGCTTCATTGCATCAACACTCTGGATGCTGATAGCTGCACAGGAGGGCAGTACCGAACATCAACTGAAAGTACGAGTGACCGCATCCCCACCAAAGCTCAGTTTTCTTGAAGAGCCTAACAACGTCCACGTCGACCAGAACGGCCGAGTCCGCCTGCGCTGTCGCTTCCAGGGTCTCCGTTCACACCACATAGTGACCTGGTCCAAGAACAATCAGATGGTCAGCAGAGGTAAAGAACTGACGGGGGACAGATTCATGATTGACCGTCACCGATATACAATCGCTGGCAGTTACAGGAAGGGATACTACGACTTGCGAATATGGGACGTCATGAGACTGGACACTGGAAATTACTCCTGCAGCGTTTACGATCAACTGTCTTCAAACTCTAGCCAGAGTGATCTGGGGCCCTTACTGCTTCATTCGCGGATTAGTCGTGTCACGGTGTACTATCTTCCACCTTTGTCTTATCCCGAATGCCCAATCGAGATACGCTACCGTGAGATCCAAGTCGGAGAAACGGTTCCAGTCTGTCACTCCCAGAAAGGTTTCCCGCCAATCAACCTGGAGCTGGAGGATCCACAGACGCAGACAGGGTCAAGGTGGATTCGACCAGTGTCTCGGATTTCATCTTCGTCACCTTGAACGTCAGTGAGTCTGACAACGGGATGACATACTGGTGTAAGGCTACCAGCGATGATTTCCCTTACTACCATAGCAGGTGCCAGGTGGGACCGTTGAACGTCGTCTATAAGCCCCGCGCCGTCATTCGTCCGTTGCGGTATGCAATCCACCAAGATGAAGACGCCGTCTTTGTGTGTGAGATCGAGTCCAGCCCGATGCCATCCCAAGTTTCCTGGAGCGTATATCCACCCATCGAGCCCAGTCGCATCGAACTGTACGACAACAACCGGACGCTACAGATAACGAGTATTCGCAGCGACGACGACGGACGATTACTGTCATGCACAGCGACAAACACCCAAGGCAATGACACAGCGCAACGGGTCCTTGTAGTGAGACAACCAAACTTAATACTACCTCATTTATCAACAACCCCTGCCATTCCAACCAACAACAACTCGGCAAAACTGGACTCTGCCGTTCCCCACTGCATGGACTTCGCATATCGCATCCTCGTTCCAACGTTAGTCGGAATTATCATCATCCTCCTCCTTGTCATACTCTTGCTTCTGGTCAGAAGCAGACTTTGGATCTTCTCCAAACGACTCGACGAGCACAGTGCACAGACAGAACTCATGCGTCCCCTGACTGACTATGAGATTCCCCCAGCCATGGTTTCTGTCGACAGCAAACAACTCATGATGAACATCACCTGAACTGGCAAAACTAACACAGACTCAGAAGACAGTTTTGTAAACCTTCAAAGTAGCTGAAATACTTTTAAAAATTGTACATAAAGTAACTCATTATCTATTCCTATATATATTATTATATTTTGTTAGGTAACAAGTCTATAATATTATACTTTTGTTAAAGTAATATACTAATGAAAGAAACAAAGGACAAAA